CAGGCCAAGCCGTACAAGAGGGGTTCCTGTTGCAGAACATCCACTTGGTGGCCCGGTGGCTGGGCACGCTGGAGAAGATGGTGGAGCAGTACAGCCTGGGCAGCCATGCTGACTACCGGGTGTTCATGAGCGCCGAGCCAGCCCCCAGCTCCGAGGCACACATCATCCCACAGGGACTGCTGGAAAACGCCATCAAAATGACCAACGAGCCACCGACGGGCATGTATGCCAACCTGCACAAAGCTCTCGACCTCTTCACCCAGGTATCCTCGCCCCTCCGCGCTGCTCTCCCCCACCGCGGTCGCGCTTTGCACAGCCGGTTCCTTTCAACCGCTTTGGGTCAGCCTGCCCGGCTCTCCCCATCCCTGGGGTTTCACGGGCTGAGCATCTTTGGGGGCGTCACTGCAGACATGGACGCTGCGCCAGGAGCCAGCCTACCCCCAGGCACGTCCTCCCTGGGGTGCCCAGAGCCCCCATTTGTCAGGACGCGATTTAGGGGTAACCAGAGCTGCCCAAGGGTTCCCGAACCAGGGTGGGTGCTGAATTACTGGTGCCTTTCCCAAGGCTGAATGTCAAGCTGCTGCAGCTTGGTGCCACAAACAAGCTGCCTCAACTGTCAGGGAGGGGGGGTGGGGGGTGTTCCTAATTTTTTTATAAACAAATGAGTGCAAAAATTAACCAACTAGCAAATCTTTAAAAGATAATTTTATGCCTTTTTTTAATAAACAACCTTCAGTTCTCCTTTGCCATCATCTGTTAATCTTCTTCAATAGAGGGATGGCTGATAGCGATACTCACTCACTTGCAAACCCACTCTCATTTTTATTCCACTGCAGGACACGTTAGAGATGTGCAGCAAAGAAATCGAGTTCAAATGCATCTTGTTTGCACTCTGTTACTTCCACGCGGTGGTGGCCGAGCGGCGCAAGTTTGGTGCTCAGGGCTGGAACAGATCTTACCCCTTTAACAATGGTGACCTGACCATATCGATTAACGTCCTGTACAACTACTTGGAGGCTAACCCCAAGGTAAGGGACTTATGAAGTGACTGCACCTCAGCACAATGCACACTATGACAATCAACCTTTTTTAAAAAATTCATCAGTTTGCTGCACAAATGCCTTCTCTTGAGGAAACGCGGCGTTGCCAGTAGTTCTCCCCCTCCTCCCCAGGGAGCTGCCTGCATGCTCTGGCTGGGTGGAAAGCAGGCATTTAGCACCAGGCTGGGACAAGCGCCTGCTCTGGCTCATGCCTCGGTGCTTTTTTTAAATTACTTTCCACCTAAAAGGCAAAGCCTGCCCCGAGAATGAAGGTGCAATGAGTAGGATTGAAGTCACCCTTAGGAGAGTCCTGCTTTCCCCTGGCCTTACAGACATGACTCAGTTGATCTGAATAAACACAGGATGACGGGGGTTCAAAGTATGGATGGCTGTGTGCATACCGGGACAAGGTGAAATCTGTGGGCGAACACAAAAGACACCTAAGACAAGGTCCCCTGTCTTGCTCCCCTTCACTCTGTCACCGAGCCTCTGTGGGTCCAGGGTCTGTCACTTCCCTGGACACTGGACAGGTCAACCCAGGAGCCATTTGCTCCGTGGCCCCGCAGCTCTACAGTCATGTACAGGTTCCCTGGGCTGCAGGGGACTTCTGCAGCCTCACAGGCTACAGGAACCTCACGGTAAGCCTCTCCTTGTAGGTACCATGGGATGATCTCCGGTACCTCTTTGGTGAAATCATGTACGGGGGGCATATCACAGACGACTGGGACCGCCGGCTGTGTCGGACTTACCTGAGCGAATACATCCGTGCGGAGATGCTGGAAAGGGAAGTGTACTTAGCTCCAGGGTTTTTGATCCCTCCCAGCTTGGATTACAAGGTAAGAAAGATTAACATTGCAATTTGCTGTGGAAAACCACCACTCCGGATAAATGCGCACTAGTCAGAGTTCCCTCATGCTAACCAAGGGGGAACGCAGGGCGAAAAAAGTTTCAATCCTGTGAAAACATGCAGAATCGCTGCCAAAATAATTCCTGTGGCTGGGGTGGTAAGGGAAAAACTTAGGTAAGACGTGAGTAAAAATCCATCTTGAATAAGCAGCGCCAGCTAGCTGTGAAGCACCACCACCACCAAAAAGCGATGACGTATTTTCAAGGCTGAAGCAAAACTCGCACTCCTTTGTACATATCTGCTAAACTAACGTCAGCGCCTACTCTGCACTTAGGGTTACCACGAGTACATCGATGACAACCTGCCACCGGAGAGCCCCTATTTGTACGGCCTTCACCCCAATGCAGAAATTGGCTTCCTGACTGTCACTTCAGACAGGCTTTTTCGGACAGTTTTGGAAATGCAGCCCAAAGAATCAGACACTGGAGGAGGCTCAGGTGTCTCCCGAGAGGAAAAGGCAAGTGAAGTTTCTGCCTCTTTACAATGACAATTCAGAGGCCAGATGGGGAGGGCAGATAAGGGCCCACACACAATGGACAGGAGAATATAACCTGTAGTAATAACTGATTTCTTACCAGTGCAAGATAGTAAAGAGATGTGATTCTAGCCCAGTACTTAATGCTACAAGCTGTCAGCCTGGAGAAGGGGGAGCTGCTAGCACAGAGCTCATGAGAAATGCTGCAGTCTCTGCTCAGCTGGACACTCCTGTCAAGTTGTTATTTAAGTATATTTGCACTTGGTTTCCCTATGACCATGCTCTCCTTTCCATTTCAGTAACTTCGCCAGTCTTTGGCATTGGTAATGCAATTGAACACGAGCAAAGGCTTCACTGCTCTACAGCTGCTGAGAAGGCAGCACTAATACCACAGCCCAGGGCAAGACAAAGCACTGGCCGCGGCTGCCTACTTGTCCCTGCCCCATCTGCAGCTCTCTCCCCCCTTCCCTGCTCTTGCATCAGTCTAGATCCCAGGCAGGCAGGCAGCTAGTCACACAGATCATAAGACTGTTAGCTGCTCTCCTCCAGCATCTCGGAGAAACCCAAAGGGTAAAGAGAAGGGGCTGAAATGCTGCCCCAGCAGTTTCTTTGTGTTCACTCCATCTGAACACGTGGTGCAGTTACAAAAGTCAGCAGTGTTCAGAAAGGTTACTCATTGATGGGGTCGAGATGCGCCAGTGGCAAAATGTGGCTCACGTGCTGCATCCTCAGCAGATGGCGCAGGCTTAGTAATTTCCATTCATGATGGCAACTACTAAAAATACAGATTTTTTTATTTTTTTTTTTTTAAAAAGTCTTCCTCCTGACTGCCTGGATTTTACACTTGAATTTAAGTGGCTTCAGTTCTTACCTTCTTGGCTATCGAAAAAGAGCTGCAGCTTTTTAAGATCCAGGAACAGTTAGTAAAAGAATAGAGTATTAGTAATAGAGGAGGAAGCACAAGAAAACATGAAGGCAGAAAAAGAAAAATCTTACTAAGTTAATTAACTGTTAATCCACAGCATTTTTCCTTAGATAAGCGCAGTTCTATGGTATATTCTTTCCAGGTGAAGTCAGTCCTAGATGAGATTATTGAGAAGCTGCCGGAGCCATTCAATATGGTGGAGATCACGGCGAAAGCGGTGGACAGGACCCCGTATGTTGTAGTTGCCTTCCAGGAATGTGAAAGAATGAACATCTTGACCCATGAAATCAGGCGCTCTTTGAAAGAGTTAGACTTGGGACTAAAGGTATGCATGAGGTAGCTGCCAGAAAGCGCCTCTCCCTACCAAATAACTTCCCATGATTTGCAAATGGCTGTCGCTCGTTTCGAACCTTGTCTTGTACCAAGTACCAAGCGTTTGGCTACCCTTGCTCGCGCTCTTACACATCCCACTGTGCTGGGTACAGCCAGACAGTACCAGCCTCCTGCTTCATGATGAGTTTGAGACCAAATACTTCCATCAGTCTTGCTTTCCTCAGATAAAACTGCCCAGACTTTTCTCTTTTTTAAAGGGAGAGCTAACGATTACATCAGATATGGAAGAGCTGGCAAACGCTCTCTTCTACGACAACGTTCCTGAATCCTGGACACGTTATGCCTATCCCTCTCTTCTTAGCCTAGGAGCCTGGTATGCAGACCTGCTCCTTCGGATTAGGGTGAGCAGATTTCTTGTGAAAGTTAAAGCTTAGGGAGCAAGCGGATACCACAGAAGACCAGAAATCACCTCCACCAGTGTACAGTGGTTAACTGGTTTATTTTTCAATATTAATTTAAGCAGTTTGAAATGGCCTGTTACCCCAAGAATGAGAGCAGAAATTTGAAAAGGGTCCACCATTGGAGTATATCACTGTTGCAAAAGAACATTAGCTAACCCCATCATAACTTTATATGCCTCAGAAGAAAAAAATATTTAATAAAACCATTCATTTAAAGTGTGGCTTTGTTAAAAAAATAATAGCAGTATTTACTGCAATCCAAATTAATGGTTTAAGTTTCATTGCTGCAGTGAAATCCGCTATTTATTCATCACAGACCACCTCCATCCAAGTCTCCCCATCTGGACGATTACCTGAAGCTCGTGTTAGGCACAGTGAAGCATCAGCTCTTTGTCACATCGTATCTCAAAGCAGTACTCTGCTGCTCAAAGGCCACGCTTCACTCTGAAGTACTTTGCTGTTTTCGTTTTCCAGGAACTGGAAGTCTGGACAACGGACTTTGTGCTGCCTGCAACAGTGTGGCTGGCAGGATTCTTCAATCCCCAGTCCTTCCTCACTGCTATCATGCAATCCATGGCCAGAAAAAATGAATGGCCACTGGACAAGATGTGTCTTTCAGTGGAAGTGACCAAGAAAAACCGTGAGGATATAACAGCTCCACCCAGAGAAGGCTCCTATGTGCATGGATTATTCATGGAAGGTAAAAGACTGCATCTTTTATGAGATGTTTCAGACACAGAGAAAGCCCACTTCAGCCTTAAAAAATTCTTGCAAACAGAGCAGGTGTTAGTACTCACTGGCTTATTTGAATTTGTACAGCTTTTGCAAAAGCTCCAAGTAGTGCAGCCTTTATTCCATGCTAATGTCAGAGACGTGCCAGCTGAGGGCAGCACCCATCCAGTTTACAAGCAGAGTTTCACAAACCAGAAACTATTTTTTTGGAAATTCAGACTGCATATCATGAATCTGAGGACTGGGTTGTCTGAAGCTACATGTTTTAGTGAATAAATATATTACGCTCTTATTTGATGTGAGAGTAAGACAAATCAGGAAACTCAGAACCTAAACTAATTACTGCTAAAAAATGAGGGGGAATGAGATGGCAGTATCAGCAGAGCACCAAAGGGGTCCACTTAAACAAGAGCACAGACCACACAGGACAGCTATCGTAGTTCCCACCACGGCCAAGTTCTACCTTCAGCTATGCAACTTTCATGCAAACCCGTGCTGAAGGGATGAGTGGGGACAGAATTTATTTAGACATCCCACACACAGTAAGGCAAAATGCATTCATGAGTCACAGTGAGATGATAACATGTTAGCCCTAAGGACTACTAAGCCATGGCTACTCAACCTTCACACGCCATCCTCAACTGTGCTGCTAGAGCAACTCCTTCCCACCCATTAATAGTTATGAAAACAGCTCCCTCTAAGTGAAAAAGCCACTGGGTAGCTGGTACCCCGACAATTTCATAATATTGCAGGCGCTCGATGGGACATCCCTTCTGGTGTGATCGCAGATGCTCGACTGAAGGAGTTGACGCCCATGATGCCAGTCATCTTCATCAGAGCCATCCCTGTGGACCGCATGGACACCAAGAACGTCTATGAATGTCCTGTCTATAAGACACGGATGCGAGGTCCCACCTATGTCTGGACCTTTAACCTAAAGACAAAAGAAAAAGCCGCTAAGTGGATCCTTGCCGCTGTTGCTCTGCTCTTACAGAGCTAAACTTTGATGACTATGGAAAACAGCAAATGCTTTTACTTGCAAAAAAACTCAAAGTTGTGTAACTTAGACTAAGTTTGATTGTACCAGAACTACTTTAGCAAAGTATCAATAAAAACAGTGCTGGAATTGCTGTCTTGTGGTGACTGCTCTTACAATACATGGAGCTTCTCATGACGGATACTGGTTTTCAATTGGTGGTTTCTGATAAAGTGCTGGTTGAGAGCCAGACCACCAAAGGAAGCCAAACAGAACAACTGCATGCAACTATCCAGATTCCTTTCCTTCTCATAGCTGTCTGTCTTTCCACAGCTATTTGTTTGATCACTCAGTGCTAACTGTGAGCAGAAATTCATCAAGCCGTGTGCATGACACATTCCTGCATGGAAGCATGTATCTGTTTAGACCAGATAGAAGAAGAAAGGCACAGATTTGGCCCAGTTCACAAACATGTCAACCTGTACAACCCAAAGAAAGTCCAGCTGCAACTATCTGAAATATGTTTCTTTCTGTTTCTAGGCTATAGAATCTACTCTACCCTTTCCTTCACAACAAAAAATTTATATCAGCAGTAACACGTATTAAGGTGATTAGATCTGCTCTGGCCGCCATATGGAAGCCAATGCCTGTCCCTTTAGCATAAAATAATTCACCAAAATCCCACCCCGTGTAATATCTGAACAATTAGTTCTAAAATACAGTTGCATAAAATTTCCCTCACAGCCAGTGGTAAGAAAAGCCACAAGGGGAGGCAAGTAGGGCTGCTTGTTTCTTTATAAAGCAGTACAATTTAGAATAAATTACAATTAAGCTTTACACTTACCTTCAGCCTTTTCAGGTGCCAGAAATCCCTTTTATTGGCAATACAAGATCAGAACACACTGCACGTACTCTACCAGCGAAACTCACGGGGCAGCCCAAGCCTGTGCTCTAACACGTTTTTATCTGGTTTCTCAACCAACTTCTTTGCAGGACATGCGTTACAGTTTGAGCCTCCCACTTTCAGCAAGTAACATCCAAAAATCACACTAGCAACAAAAGTCCTCTCATGCCCTCTCCACAATTCATGAAAGACACTCTTAACACATCTTAACATGGAGCCAGATACACAACCCCAGAGGCGGCCGTATTTATGTAAACAAAATGGACATGTGAACACTCAGCATCAAGAGCACACACTTAGGTGCCAACTGCATGGACTATGTGCACAGCACAGAAAAATATCTAAAAGCTGTTCCATGAAGCTCAGCCAGGCAAATCCAGGACACTGTACGAAGCAGAAAAGCAAAAACAACTGGCCCTGTTAATCAACATCTACAAGGTTAAAGCAAAGCACTGATCAGATAAAAAGAAGACAAAACATTTTAAATATTCCAACAATGTTTTCTGGTAGCTGGTCAAGATAAAATAAACAGAGTCCCTCTCACAAAACTCTGAAAGGGACATTTCAGAAATGGAAGTTTTATTTCTATGCATGGGAAATACCCTTGTATGGGTTCTCTTTCTTTGACCCTTCCAGAAATTCTAGTAGCTGAAACCCAATATAGACCTTGAGCAATGATTCCAATCAGTGGGAAGTACCCCAGAAGAAGAGATATGCCTGTTTTCTCCCCACATCATCTATGTTTCCATCATCTATTTCTTCCACATGAGAGTGCTGCACTTATTAATTGCAGTCAGTGCAATACACATTCCCCACAAGAATGGCAGAAAACTCACCCAAAGCAGCAACTTTTCTTCTTTCAAAAGAAATTCTTGATCAGAGGTGTTACCAGCTTCACCCACAGTTTCACATAACGATTTGGCTGCTCAAATGTTGATGATGAGACTACACCTGAGCAGAGGTAAAGCTGCTCCTGTTCCTATACAGGGAAAGAAACATCATCCCAGTAAATCCTAAGTGTTAAATTATATAATGGCCTTTAAGAAAAGAGAATTCTCAGATAAAACTGGCCATGGATCCTGCCAAAAGGATGCATCATTTCTGCCACAAGCCTGGACATAAGAGTCTCATTCCATGTAGCACAACTCACAGAGCACCTGAACCACCAAGGAGCTAGCACAGCATCTGTCCTTCACACCCGCCTGCCACAGCACTCCACCTTTTGATGACTATCAGTGAGCTCAGTAACCGAACCTCAAGAATTAGCAATTTAAACTCTACAAAGAGCAAAGGTAGAAGGTTTTGCCAATTTGTGCCTCACAGTTGCAAGAGAGCTAAGCTTCAGTTTCAGAAAAATCCTAAATCCCTCGCTGTAATTGCGAAGAAAAGGAAACCTGACCATAATCTCAAGAGACTGGCTTACGCAGCTCCTTCTAGACACAGCTCAAGTGCTGTGTTTTCAAATGAATACGCAGTCATGATTTCAACTAAATTACCAGAAACACTTAGGCTTCTCCAGTGTGTATACAATACTGCTGAAGGAGGAAATGAACCATCATGATGATAATACATGCTCACATTGCACGTGAAAGCAGCTGTTTGATCAAAGGTAGAAGCAGCTTTCTTATCAAAGCCAGTCAGGTTTCTAGATTTGCAGGCAAACAACAAGCAGATCGTCTACTGTAAGTCTTTTTTTCATTAGCTAAGCTGTCACAAACAACAGAAAATACTCTGCACTGTTTAAATTCAGGGTGGAACAGGGATGCAGGAACCAAGTACTGGAAAGTAACTCCAAAAAGATGAACCAACAGTAGAAGGAAGACATTTGTGTGCCGACTCAGTCTAATTGTAGAAACCCAAAGTGCTCTAAGAGCTACAGTCAGCCCTGCTATGAATATTCTGCACCGTGATCATCTGATACAGTGAGGTCATCCGATCACTGGAAGTGAGACCAGTTATCTGAACTGAAGTTCAGTTCATTCAGTGGAGCATCCAAAGATGCCCAGACCACTCAAATTTCTTCCCAAATCTCATCACACATTTTTTAAATGGAACTGAATGTTACATAGGCAAAGTGATTTCATGGCAGCGTACCAGTAATGTATTAAGTCTTCTAAACAAAGATCACAGAACAGTAAACAAACAGCCAATCTCAAAATCAGCTTCCAGCAAATGGGAATGGTTTAAAGCCTTTTAAATTAGATCACTGCAGCACTGTTTGAGAAAATTCCTTTGTCATATTTTTCATTGATTCTCTCCTTCCATTAGAAACAAGTAGAGGCAAGATATGAATTGAAATATTCAAGCAACTCTTCCAGTAATAGAATTGTTTTGATTAGATATACTTTGACTCATCCTGTGGAAGAGCCCTGATGCAACAGGGCAATTCCCATTGATCTTGAAGACAACTGTGCCTTCTTAGGCCAGGATTTGGCTTAATAGAATACATTTTTGAGATCCCTAAGTCACACACAGAGGCACCAAACCAATTTGCTTTGTATCAGAGCATTACATGAGAAATTACTTGGGACACTGTCAGTTCCAGCAGAAGATTCAGAGTCAAGACAGCTGGAGAACCAGACAGGATTTAGAGAAGCAGCAAAAGTGCTGAGCAGTCCAAGCTGCCTAATTAAAAAAAAAACTGGGACACTGAACATTAAACCACTGAAAAATGTTTGTGTCAAGATTACATAATGTCATATTATTATTCAAGATTATATTATGTCATACAACTTCATGGGCAATCCAACCAGCCCAGAAATCCTCTTCTCGTAGAAACTACACTAAGATCCCCTGCCTTTGTTCACCTCCACAGCCTGTGGGCAGCCACCCAAAAGCTAACCGATTGGCATTTATATTCCTACAAAGGATTTCCCAAATGCCTGAGAAGCAAAATCCTCCAGAAGCCCAAGATCAGCAATTCAAAGGGTCTGACCTCATTGCCCTAGAGCATGGTCAGACCTTAGCAATGCCCAAATATTGGAGATAAGGCCCAAAAAGGTGCAGTGCGACCAGCGAGCAGAGGAGAGCCAGCAGATCCTCTCTGAATGCTGTGCGCCTCAGCATCCAGTGTCTGAGCACTCCCGATACTCAAGTTCACTGGGGACACATGTTCTTTCCCGTTATGGCCTCCATTTCCCAGAAACAGGCACTTGCAGCAGGCATCTCATCAATAGTCACTTAACTGACAGCTCCTTGAGACTTCCTATGCTCAAGAAGGTTTTGAATTATTGTAGCTGTAGGTTTTTATTGCAACTGCGTCATCAGCATTCCCTATGTGACCAAGAAGCACAACATCCATGTTATCTCCCCATAATCAGCCACTTACCTGATGGAGTTGCTGCTGCAAAGCTTTATTTTCTGTCACTATCGCAACCTGAGCTTCCAAGTCACGATGAACTGATCGATATCCAAAATTAGGAGACCCAATCAGAGTTAGGCAGGGAAGATCGCTTCCTGCCAGGTACAGCCAGAGGCCTGCAGGAAAAACAGGAGAAGAAAGGAAGTGTGGCAGACAAAGGAAATGACCGGGGTAGCCTCAAACAATCGCTTCACTTAGAAGAAATGAATTACACGTTAGATTACAGTAACTATAAAAGAGCACAACACAAAGCAAGTTTCCTTGCAGATGGTCTAGCATGTCTTGCAAAGCTTCGTATGAATCTTGGGGTACCCTTGCACAGCTTGCATTGTCCAAACTTGTGTGCTCTTAACAGGGGGGCTGCAGCACGCCCAGTGCCACTCCAAGGACACGTTCTTAAGAATGTAAATACACTGCATAGAGAGCCCCCAAAATAATCCAGAATGAGTCACTATCATTAAGTTAGAGGTCATTTTGCACCACGGCATCTCAGAAACACTGAAATAAGACAAACAGTTTTTCAGTAAAGGAAAACCTACACCAAGCAACAGAGCGCCAGGCAGACAAGCCAGGCCTGGACCAGTCAGTTCCAGAACTGGAAGCAGCGCAGTTGCGCAGTGACTAACCCCTTTCCCGAGACTACGCAAGACAGTGACTCGAAGAGGCATCTCCCTGCTCTGACAGGTGAATTCACATGAAATAAAGACTTGTAAGAGAAGTGCAAATTATTACACCCACTCGCTTCCTGAGGAGCCACCCGAAGATGAAATCAAACTCTTGCCAGGATGCAAGACTCCCAAGTC